CCGCGAGGAGCGCCCGGCTGAGCAACCCACAAGACCCCCAGAGAGAGCAAGGGACTCGTGTACCGTATAAGAACCAGGCCAATTCGGGCGTCCCCCCCATAGCAGCGTCAGCACCGATCGACATCCTTCCTCTTCCCGGGGGAATCGACCTTCTGTCCCATAGTCCCGTTCGATTTCCTTCTCCCAGTCCTTCTCGCGACGATGCTCTTCGGCAAATCTTCCGTCTCGACGGGCCTGCTGGCCATGGTGACGCTTTCGCTCACCGTTGCAGCCGCTCTGGACCCCATCGAGCAGCACCTCCTTGCTCGTGATGGCGACGTCTTCTCGCAGAGCAAGGCTGCTTCTGGCAAGCACGCCACTCCGGTCAATCTGAGCAACGTTCAGGCGTCTAAACAGGCTGTGCTCAAGCTGGTTGGCGATGACCTTCACACTCCTACACAGTCCGAGACACTTCTCGAAGACTCCAAGATTGCTGTTCCCGGCGACGTGGCGGCTCAGCTCGGCGACCGCGCCCACTGCTCGCTCGGCCACGACTCGGCAAACATCAAGCGCATTCGCTACGAGATGACCGTTCAGATCGACCGCGACGAAAGCGGATCCTCCACCGAGGCCTCGTCCGAATCCGTGCGTGGCACCGTGGTCAAGGCGACCTCGGGACTGTACTCGGACGCGAACCCAGACAAGGGTGCTTGCGCAAAGTCGCTTGCCCGCCACGGCGAGACTTGCGTCAACCGTCCCTACATTGTGCCGCAGTCGGCCCTGCCTGACCCAAGCGAGAGCAAGACTTCCGGTGCGGCCGGTGGAAAGCTGGGCAAGCGCGCTCTTGGCGGTGCTGCCTCCGACGGAAAGTACCAGACAAGCTTGACCACCTCTGTCGGCGCTGTGTCGGTCTCGTCGCCTCAAGGATCCATGTGTGTTGACACCGTCAAGCGCGAGAAGGAGGTCACCAAGGTCGTTCCCACCGATGCCCACAAAGCAGCTCAGGATCCCGGCTCCAAGCTGTACTTCGAGCTTGTTCGCAACGACGAGAAGCAGGGTGTGTGGAATCAGGTCATCTACGACAAGCACGGCAAGCCGGTGGACATTACGCACCTGCAGCTCTCCACCAACATGTCGTTCTGGCGTGCCGAGTACTACTGTGCCGAGTGCCCGAGAGGCACGCAGAAGCACACGGTGCTGTATGAGAACATCGAGATCGAGGTCGACGAGTTCCACGAGCACGCCACCCCAGCGGTGCAGTGTCAGGGCCAGGGCAAGGCCACCAACGTGCACAAGAAGGACAAGAGCCGCTACGCCCTTAAGAACAACTCGGGCGTCGACTACAAGGGCGTCATATTTTCCATCGACCGCGTCACGCTCGGCAAATTCGATGCCAAGGGCAAGGGCGGCTTGGTTGCCGTCACCGAGAACCATGTCGGCCGCTTCTCCGGCTCCGTGCCTGACGATGCGAAGAAATCACCTCCCCCTAACAGGTACTCATTGCAATTGAACGACGCCAGTGCATCTCCTGGCGGTCTTGGCGGACCGATCAGCAAGCGCGATTCCGAACAGGAGCGCCCTGCGCCAGCCCTCAAAGGATTCGCCAAGCGCGACTTCTGGGACTTCATCTCCAAAGACGACCCCATGCTGCAGTTCTAAGCGCACCTTGCCTCGTCGCCCGTGCCTCCCATAATTAATCTATTCATCACGCTATGCTCAGCTCTCTATGCCCTCCTTGAATGCTATGCCATTTCACCTTTCATAGCGCCAGGATGAGGTTCCAGAAGGTCTCTGTGTGCAGAAGATCATCGTGCGCGCCCTGATTCGTCGAGTCGCCAGCAGAACAGTTAGTCTTGGGAATCGACGCATCGAGCATGGTCTGAGGACACTTACCCTCAGAGTGGTGAGATCTGCGTGCAGATGGTTGGCGTTTTTGATAGATGTGTCGGCGTACAAGGAAGCGAGCAGCTTCTTTTCGCCTTGCACCTCGGTTGTGCTTGCGTTCCCGTCCTGCGGGATGACAACCGGAATGGAAGCAGACGCGGCGGTCGAAAGCTTGCTGTCGAGATGAAGAATGATGTCGAGGCTCTGCTTGAAGGATAGCAGTTCGTCGTCGCGCGAATGCCATACGTGCAGCTGCTTACCGTCGAGCGCCAGCGGCCAGTTCTCACACGAAACGGCATCGTACTTGGCGGGGCTAGGCTGGGGCAAGAATGCTTGTGCGACAAATCCGTCGTAGTCTGGGTATTCTTTGAGAAGTGCAGAGACCGAAAAGATTCCGTCCTGCATGCGAGCAATGGAGATCAGTATTCATTTCGGTCAATCAGTAAATGAAAGGGCATGATGCACTTACGACCAGGACACAAGTTTTGATGGAGTCTCTCGCTGCGCTGTTTGGAATCGGCATCGGAGCTGGATACTGAGCATCCGGAGAGCATGAAGAGCCGCTGATGATGGCAGCAAGGGTGAGCCATGCGCCGATGGAATGACCAACGACGACCCAGTCTTTGTGGGGCACATCGTCGCGAACATGCAGGAACGCTAGGGCCGCATTGACGTCCTGCACGTGCACGGGGTGGATGTGCTTCGGCAGACCCTGATCGTCCTTTACCGAGAGCCTGTAGTCGACAACTGCAACCGCCATTCCCTTTGCGCAGAGATGGCTGGCAAGATCCGCATGGTCCTTGCGCGATCCTGTGCGCCATGCACCGCCGTGGATGAACACCACCAGACCCGACGCTGCCTGTTCTGACGGCAGGTACAGATCGAGCTGCTGCTCGGAGTCGGAGCTCCCGCTGACGTAGGTGAGCGTCTTTGGCGTTACGGTCGACGACGACATGACGGAAAGAGGATGGAGAGGTCGAATGGCTGGTCGCAACTCGCCGCCAAGTCTCGAAGATGTGTCTGACCCAAAGTGGCCGCTCGCCGACTTCGGCTATTCGCGTCTATCCGGGCTCCGAATTTTAAGCTCGGATGCTCACTCTTTCCAGCTGCAATTGCACACGACTGACCCTCGACACTCTCAAGCTGGACTACTTGGATGGTTCCAGAGAAGAATACGATTCCGAATGAAATGTCTATGCTGGAGATCAGACCAGCTAGCGTTCAGCGGTAGAGCGCTGACTTGAAGCCGGCGAGGCCCTGGTTGTAGCCGTGCTCAAACTCCCAGATCATTGTGCTGCCCTGACCCTTGGCCTGAGCGTGAGCAGCGGTCCTGGTCTTCTGCCATTGACCGGTGAAGCCGATCTCGTTGGATTCATTCGCTTTGAGGAACTCGACCGAGTCCGTCCACGCAAGGCTGTAGCCGTCGGAAAAGCGCCAGTGCTCGTAGGGGCCGCCGCTCTGCTGATCCCAGTAGTTGGCGTGGCTTGCGAGCGCTGCATCCTGGGCAGCCTGGCGCGCAGCTTCAAGCTCCTGCACCGACTTGCGTTGTCCGCGGTGCGGGTCCAGATGCTGCGGGAGGACTCCGCGCTCGACAGCCGAGTAGAAGCCCCAGCCGGTGTCGGGAGCACCCTCCTTCTTGAGCGTCCAGAAAAAGTAGCCTGCGCAGAACTTGTCGAAGCTCTTCCACTCGTTGAAAGCGTACTCCGCCTTGGCAGCTCGCTGCTGCTCTTCGGTGCTGAGGTACTGCAGCGAGGCCGGATTGAGAGCGGCACTCCACTCGCCAACGACCAGAGATCCACCACAACGGTTCGACATGTCCTTCAACCAGACCGCCGTCTCGCCAGCGCCGTCCGAGTTGGTTGGCAAGGGCGAGGTGCCCGGGTTGAGCTTGCGCGCGAAGTCCTCGACTCGGGTCGCTAAATCCTGTGCGGTAAAGCATCGGTAAAGGTGGTGGTCGGTGACGAGGAAGTTGCTTGCGCTGGCGTGCTGGCCAACAAAGCCGGTATAGTAGTTGGTGTCCCAGGCATCGCCGATGTAGAGCGGCAGAGCAGCTACTTCGGGCGAGACCGAGCGCACTTGGGTGATGGCTTGATCGTAGAACGATGATAGGCTGCCCGAATTCTTGGGCTCGTTGATGAGCTCGAGCCCAACAACGTTTTCGAAGCGGGCGTACTCGGATGCCATGGCCTTCAAGATCTCGATGGTCTTTTGCTGGTTGGCCGGAGAGTCCCAAAGGGCTGCCTTGCCGTCGCTGACACCACAGTGGGCATCGGCATTCTGACCACCAGGCGCACCATGAAGATCTACGAGCACACCCACGTTGCGGCTCGCGGTGAATTCGATGGCACGTTGGATGCGGCTGAAGGTGCCCGCATAAATGGGAGCATATCGTTCGTAGTCAGTGTCCTTGATGAGGGCACGCACACTCTCGTTGGGGTGACCAGCAAGGAAGTGAAAGTAGCCGACGGGGATGCGAACAGTGTTGATGCCATGGTCGACCATCCATTGGAGGTCACCGTCGTTGATGAAGTTGTCCCAGTGGTTCTCGAGCATGGCTCTTGCCTCGTTGGGATCCATGCCCGCGACGACATCGAGCTCGCTTGCCTTGGGATCCCTGGCCTTCTGGAAGAGGGAAGGGGTGAGCCATGCCTCGAGCGAAAACCATGAGCCGAGGTTGACTCCGCGTTGCTTTCGATGACGATAGATGTCGCGGCGCGTGGGCGGGGCATCGACCGAGGTGGGCGGCAGGGCGTCGAAGGTGGTCTGAGCGGACGTCATCGCCTTACCAGCCCTGCGATCCTGGTCGAGCTTGTTCATGCCCTGCTGGACCTTGCCGATGAACTTCTTCATCTTGAGGATTCAGGTCAGACCTGCTTTTGCGGTGATGGAAGGAGGACAAGAGCGCATCAACGGCCGGGTATATAAGCCCGTCGCTTGTCCGCTGTTCGGTGATTGGCGAAGATTCCTTCGCTGTCTGCGCTGTCTTGCCTGTCTCCTCAGGTAGACCGGAGGATGCGACTTGGCTCGTTACCGAGACTGCATTGCCTGACTTCACCTCGACGCCATTCGAGGCTGGCGTTGCTATCTTCGGACGGACCGTGCTGCAAGCCATCACGGACCCAACACGGAGCCTCCACATGCGGCGGCGGCGGCGGCTGGAATTTGGGCCGCCGCTCACCGCCACAGGAACAGCCACAACGAGGCGCGCAGAAGCTGCAGCTGCTGCTTCCTGCTTCGCACTGACCGAGCTCTATGACGTGCATTTAGCCGATACAACCTTACATCGGATTCCGAAAGAGGCCCGATGAGAACCCGATCGATCTCGGAAAGAGCCGCTGGTCGTGGGGGAAAGAGGCGAGCTCGGATGCCAGGCGAGTCAAGATCGCGTCACATGTTGCCAGGACAACGTGCTCCCCCGCAATGGACGGCTCGGTCAAGAGATGCACGCGCATGGCTTGGCTGGGCCGGGTCACGATGGACAGATGTGTGTGGTCGAGGAAGACAGCGCATTGATCAAGCGCAAGGGCTCACTGGACGACGCCAGAGCCGTCAGAACCGATGGACAAGCGAGGCTGGAGATGGACGACCATCGCGCCTTGGCATTTCTCACGCTTCTGACGGGACTCGGAGGTCAGGCTACGTCGCCGGTGGCGGGAGTCGAGCCTCGCCGTACAGGTTAGCTGTTGGAAGAGGGTGTGAGAAGCGGAGAAAGAAACGCAGCCGTTGCAGATGGTCCGGCGTGCATTTTTTTTGGCCGCATGGCTTGGAAGAATGCGCCGGGGCCGAGAGCACTGGCAGAGGACGGACGAAGAAGCCAAGGCGGGGAAGCCGGTGCCAAGGGGAATTGAGACTCAGACAGCTTAGAGAGGCATCGTTGCCTCGAGGTAAAATAAGACAGGGCGGCCTGTGAGGGTTGGAGATTGCCGACCGAAAGCCTCCGCCCAAGTGGTGGGTCCAGGCCGAAATTCAACCGAGTGTGGGTTCGCTTGGCTTGGCTTGGCTTGGTTGGCTGGCGGGCTGGCTGGCTGGCTAAGCTGAGCTACTCATGTGAATGCGCGGTATCGAGGCTGACAGTGCAGCCCTGTTGCAAGTCGGCGGGCTTGTTTGACGCAGCGAAGTCAGGACCGCGGGCCGCTGAGTGCATGCGGATAACGGTAAAGTGGATGAGGTCGAGACTCGGCAACAAGCAAAGGCTGCGCGATATCGAGGTTTCGGGGCTGCCGATAGCAGAGCGAGGCTCGGCCCCTGATTATTTTGGCACGGTGGCCCACGCTCGCCCAGTCCTAAGCGGGCAAGACACTGGCGGCAGGCGAGAGACACGAAAAAATTGAGGCACGGCGTTGCCACTGTGGCCGTGCCTGGTTGGAGTGCCAAATCAGCCAGATTAGAAATGGAGCTTCAGGGCTCGGGGGCTCAGGGCTCTCAGGGCAGCTGCGTGCACTTATCCAGGGCAGCAGGAGAACGATGATGAAGATGGCCGACGGCTAATTCCGAGCCGACGTTGCTCTGCCTCCTGCCGCGCGGCCGAAACCCAGATGGATCTGCCAATGGCAGCGCCGACCACCACCTCCGACTGCAGCTGCCGTCCACACGTTGTAGGCCGGACCTCGCTTGCCGATGTCCCAGGTCCCCTCTGCCTCTTCCTTCACTACCGTTCGGCACATCCGTCATATCTTGATCACACACTCTCATCATCGAAGGTTGATTGCTGTGTTCGTCCAAGTCCAGATTGCGGCTGCGAACATGGCCTCGCTCTCTTCGTAGCTCTCTGCACTCCACCTCGCGCTTCGCTTGCTCCCTCGCTCGCATAGCTGTCCCAGTGACGACAAATCCCCTTCGATCGAAAAGACAAACAAGCACCCATTCAGGCTGGTCTCGATCGTTGGCTGCAGCATCTTCAATTGCCCAACATGCATCCGCCTCCGAGCTCCATGGCTCAAAACTCCACAACGCTCTACCAGACCATCACCAACACGCTCGGACGCACCAACACGCGCTCCAACTCCTCCTCGTCCTCTGCCTCCAACGTCAGCCAGTCTTCGCAGCGCTCGCCACCTGCAAGCTCTCACAAGCGCACCTCTTCCCTGCACAAGAGCACCAGTCCCTCCTACTCCACCTCGGCGCTCCCCCGAACCCTTGTCTTCGACTATGTCCGCCCCGAAGAGGTTCGCGCCGCCCACGCACTCGAAGTCGAGGGCTATCCACCCGAGGATGCTGCCAGCTATCAGAGACTCCTCCAGCGTCAGGAGGCGGCTCCGCACCTCTACCTCGGTGCCTTTGTTCCCCTGCCTCCTCCCAAGGTAGCTGGTCCGCTCTCCGTATCGGGACAGCCACGTCGCCGCATCGTCGGCTTCATCACCGGTACCGCTGCTCCCGCGCTCACCCTCCGCTCCATGTCGACGCACGACACGTCCGAAGACGCGCACATGGTCTGCATTCACTCGGTCGTCGTAGCTCCCGAATTTCAGCGCAAAGGCTTGGCCACCCGCATGCTCGAGAACTACATTTCTCGCATCCGAAAGGCAGAGGAAGGCAAGGGCCCCGAGGGCGTCAAAGGCAAGCGCGGATACGAGACACTCGCGCTTCTGGCCCACGAAGAGCTTACCGGCCTCTACAGGAAGGTTGGCTTCCGTGTCCAGTGCGTCAGCCACATCCAGTATGGAAGCGGCCAGTGGCTCGAGATGAGGCGCAGCGTCTACCCGTCCCCAGGCAGCGGCGCTGGCAGCCGCATTGGCTCGGCACTCACCCGCACCACCTCCGCCACCTCTTCCGCCAGCGATGACAATCCGGTCGGCTTGAAGATGACAGCCAACACGCCCGTTACCACCACCACCAGCGCCACCAACGCCACCGATGATACCCCGACTCCCACTCAAACTGCCACGGACGCCAAAGCGACGTCAGTCACCCCCAAGCCTAGCTCGCCCGCGCCTGCATCGCCCGCAGGCATGCCCTCGCAGGCGTCCATCATGGCCGCTCTCGCCGCACAGTCTCAGCCGGGCAAGAGTCCCGGACAAACATACACTTCCATCCTCGGTCAGGCTGTGGCTGCCAAGACGCCGGCCGAAGATGCCGGCATGGCCCTCGAGGCGCGTCTCGTCGATCGCGAGACTGGTACCAACCTCGCCAAGCTCTACTGCCCCATGGAGAACTGCCGCTGCTGCATCCTTGCCAAAGGCGCCGGTGAATGGACGCGCAAGGAGAGCGGTCCCCTGTCGAATCCGGCTCTCGAACTTCCCAACTCGCCGTCGCCGCCCCAGGCGCCTGCCTTCCCGCTGCATGCCGCCAGCCCGGGCATCTCCAACCGGCTCCTGACCACCGTCAAAGGCTTCTGGCAGGTGGCTGGCCCGCTTCAATTCGACAACGTCGGCTTCTCGCGCGACATGAAGTGGACCGTGCCAATCGGCAACGATCCGACATCACCTCGGCTGGAAAGTGCGGATGCGTCGGCGCCGAGCGCGTCGAGCATCAGCGCCGAGCTCAATGCCCCGCGCACCAAGGCGCAGGAAAAGGAGGCGCGCGACAAGCAGAAGCGCGAAGACAAGGAGCGCCAGCGCGAGGAGAAGGAGCGTCGCAAAGAGCAAAAGGCCAAGGAGAAGCAGGAGAAGCGCGATCGCAAGCGTGGCGGCAGTGGATCGGACTCGAATGCCGAGGACGAAGACGTCAGCTCGCTGCTCGCACACCTCTCGCTTGGACTCACGCCAGGCGAAGAGCTGACCGTCAAGTACCTACTCTGCCCCGACTGCGAATGCGGCCCGCTCGGATTCACCATCCTGCCCACCGAAATGCAGGGCGGCCGATTGGCGGCCGAGGTTGGCGACCAAGTCGAGCAGATGAAGGGCGGCACGCTCGGTGCACCAGGTGCTGCGCCCAAGCGCCCTCCGCAGCTCTTCTACCTCGCCGCCGATCGTGTCCGATACCAGTTTGAACGCTCGTGAACGCCCTCACGATACGCATGCACAACACACATTGCCTCCATCTTCATGTTTTATTATCCATTGCATTGGGTCGAACACGCATCTTTCCTCTCCGCGGCAAGATGAGCACGTGTGCCTGTATTGTCTGGGACGGAGCTTTGTCGCTACCTCATACAGAGGGCGGGGGGTGGTGGGTGCGCCAGTGGTCGGCGATCTGCTGGCGAGTGGCAACCCAGACGCCGCCTTGACCGTTGCCTTGCTGCGTGAGTTCGGCATTGCGGCGCTGAACGTGGTCGATGAAGCGTTGCAGGCCCTGGAATCTGCCTGGTCTGCCCACGACGCGGCAGTGCAGGCCCACGCTCATCATCTTGGGAACGGAGAGAGGGTTGTCTTGCGGCAAGAAGGTTTCAGCGACGAGCGTCTCGAAGGCGTCGATGAGGTAGGTGGCAAAGGACTCGGAGTTGAAAAAGCCGGGTGTGATGGCGAAGCGCATGTCGTTGTTATCGAGCGTGTACGGCACCACGAGCAAGTGCTCACCAGGCGTGCCATCGGGAGCGGGGACCCAGTAGGGGAGGTCCTCATCGTACGCGTCCGAGTCGTAGAGCTCCTTGTGCAGGCCGAGCTCCTTGTACGTCTGGTACACGAGGCGGCGCGTGTTGATCGACTGGCGACCGGTGTACCATCCCCTGGGCTCGCGCGAGTTGGGCGAGGCCGACTTGATGGCGCGAATCGCCGCCTGGATCTGCGCACGCTCTTCTTCCTGCGACATGAGCGAGTGGTCGAACCAACGGTACGAGTGGCTCGCCACTTCGCAGCCGGCGTCTTCCATCGCCTTGACTACCTGGGGATTCTGCTCGACAGCACGGCCGACCGACCAGCTGGTAAAGGTGAGGCCGTTGCGGCGGAACAGATCCAGCACACGCCAGAATCCACGGTGCGAGCCAAACTCGTACGCCGACTCGACACTCAGATTGCGCACGTTGGCTGGCGGCTTGGAGCCGTTGGCTGCACCGTATTCGGTGAGGTAGAGCTCCGCGAACTGGTCGCCGTTGAGCGTCAGGTTCTCACCGCCCTCCTCGTAGTTGAGCACGAACGACACGGCGATGCGAGCATTGTTGGGCCACTGCGGGTGAGGAGGCTTTTCGCCATACCCGACCATGTCACGTGGAACATGCGGATCGAAGTCGCCCACGCCAAAGTTGGCCGGCAGCGGTTCTGCGTCCCTGTCCACCTGTTGCGACTCGTTCGGATAGCCGAGGAACTTGGGCAAGTCGTCGACGATCTTGGCGACCTTCCATTTGCCGTAGAAGATGTGCGCGGTCGCAGGGAAGGTCTCTGTACCGGGCAATTGGTCCGAATCGCCGTTGGGTCGCTCCAGAGTGCTGGGCCAGATGGACCACTGCTGCTTGGCGTCGTTCCACGATCCCATAGGGTTGCCGCACTCGGAGCAGCGCAGCTTGAATTTGCGCCCGGGCACCGATTCGTACAGCTTGGCCGTGGTGACGCCCTCGCCGAGCACCTGCTGCACAGCAGCATCCGGAGCAGACGATGGCTTGCCTTGCGACGACCAGGTGACGGCGTCCTTGGCCCAGTGCGTCGTCCACACGTATGGAGCGCCGTTGATTCGCTGGCATCGCGTGCAGTGGCAGAACGCCGAGAGACGCAGGTGCGCTGGATCAGCATTGAGCTGATACTCGAGCGCGCCGCAGTGACAGTGGCCCCGAAGCGACGGCATTGCGATGACGGTCGGAAGATGAAAGGCAGAGGGGGAAAAGGTGATGGTGGTCGGACGACACCAGACTGTAGCAACTGGCTCCGCACGAAGCTTCAGCGGAAGACCCGTTGCAGTCTTCTTTCTGTTATCTGGGGCCGCTCGGCTGCACGCGCTCGTGCGCCAGTCCCCTTCGGACATGCCCGAAAGTAGCCGGTGGCGCGCGGTATAACGTTGTTAAGTTATACACCATGTCCTCATCCTCTGCCAATCGGCACCCGTTGGCCCGAAGACACACCACAAGCCCTTCGCTGCGACTCGCCAGCCCAGTTGCAAGGAAGAGGTGAGGAGATCTATCCCACGTGCTCTAAAAGATGGTACAAATACATGAACATCGACACAAATCAGAGCGAGCTGCCGCCCTCAAGAGGGCACCTGGAGCGAGCGGCGCTTGTTCTTGGTGATGCTCATTGGGAGGCCTTCGACACCCTTGACCAGGTTGTGGTAGCCGCGGCGTTTGGGATCGTTGAGGCGTTTCTTGAGGTGCTTCTGCACCTTGGCCTCGGGCCTCACCACCACCACCGGCACGGGGCTCGAGGTGAGAATGTCGCGGCTGACGTGGCCCATGATGTGCTGGCCAAGCATTTTTTGAAACTTGTTGGCCGACTTGCCGCGTGTTCCTACGGTTAAGCTGTCCGGGCGGTAGACGTGAATGATGCGCAGGATGGTCGATACCACCTTGCCTGCGACGAACTCGACGACAATCGAGATCTTGCGATCCTCGGCCTCCTCGTTGAGCTCGACGATGGATGCCATGAGCTCGCGTGCCTCTTCGCGCGCCTCTTCCTGGTCGATTTGGTCCGCCTCGCCATCGAGGATGCGTACGGCCACCACCTCGTCGCCGTCCTCGACGAGGTTCTCCATGAGCCACTCGAGCGCGCGCTCCGAGTGTGCATTGTCGTCCACAGCGACCATGAAGGTGCGCGTGTTCTTGGTTCGCAGAAAGCCCCTCGACTTGACCTGCAGGGTGAAGCTGAATGCGCCGCTGTTGGTCTCGTCGGCGTCGGGCATGGTGTCGAAGCCGACCCTGCGCTCGTAGCCTGCCTTGACGTCGCTCAGACCGCCCGAACTGCTGGTGCGGCTCTTGTGCATCGACGGTCCGCCTCGGCGGCCACCATAGGTGCCATCGCCGACGATACCCGATCGGGATGGTGAGTTGGATCCGGAGCCGGCAGCCGAGGCGAGCGAGCTGTGGCTCGCACCACGGGGCCGCACCGGCTCTTCGATGGTGATGCCTTGCCGTCCCGAGCGATGCTGCTCTGTGCTGCTCCTAGGCGTCGCCAGACTCGACGATCCGGGCTGATGGAGAATCGGCGTGGTGGGCCTCGAGATCATTTTCGATGAGTGGGTCTTGGACGAGCTCTTGCGCGATATCTATCGTGAAAGAGTGGCCACGTGAGCTCCGCGCTCAATCGTCCCTTGCACCGAAAGAGCGTCTACAGGGTTGCAGACCAAAGAGACTGTGTGGAAGAGACCAGACCAAAGATCTTTCGGAGTTCGACGATAGTGTGCGTATGATATGACAACTTGATGACGATCGAAATGAGATATGACGAAGCGGTCGAGCCCAAACCCCACACCGACGCATCGCCTAACAGTGCGCAGCCACGGCACTGCCTCTGGCGTGTGCCAAGCCTGCCTTCCTAAACGGGTCAGTGCAGCCCGCCTCTGCAGCGCACTTTGCTCCACTTTCGACCCAAACCCAGCTAGTTGAGTCTCTCGCACGAGACCTCGACGCGTCTCGCCAACACGAATGCAGGGTCCCGCAACGAATTTGCGAGGGTCCTCGAACCAATCCCGCTGCCCGCCACCGCCACCCGCCATCCCCCGCCCACTGCCAAAGTGGCTACTGTTTCACACACGCTCACGCTGGAGTACCTGAGCCGAAGGAGTGACCCTGGACAGCATGTCGTGGGCATGAGGTCCAAGATGAGTGCATGAGGCGAAAGGAGCTGCAATTTTGGTGGGAGAGGCGGCGAAATGGACGCCAGGCTCCCGTCGGTGGAGCCGGGAAGCGTTTCGGGTTGAGCCCGTCACCTCGGCATTTCCAAAAACATTCCTCTCGATCCTCGTCTGTCCCGAGTCTCGACGCCGTCGATCTAGCGTTCAGCAGGCGTCACCACCGTGGCTCGGTGATCTTCCAATCGACCCCTGCAAGACAAGACCGGCTGATTGCGGCTAGGAGGTGCGGCATGAATCTCATTTGCTGGGCAATCACAACACGATGGGACAGCGAGTCCGGCCCCCTGCCCCCCCAACGATGTGCCTTTTTGAGCCGCCGCTGTTTCGTCTGCAGGAAACAGCACACTCTCTTGTGGACTCGACGAAGCTTGAGATAGCGCCATGCGATCGATGGACGTTGGCTGCTACGACATCGCAGGAGTGAATTGGACAGGCCAGTTTGCGATTGGCTCTGGCCAAGCTTGGCAAGTGGAGAGCGGACAAAACCCGCACCCCGCTGCCGCCCACTGCAGGCTTTGGGAAAAATTGCGGCTTTGGCACCGGTAAAGCGGCTCGAGTTGGTGAGCGGACGAGGCATTCCACCGCTATCGCTTCGTGGTTCGGCTGATGTGGCCACAATTTTGGATTCGAGCCGAGCGCTTGAGCACCATGCATGCGCAATCGCTTTGAGTTGCTCAAAATCTCTCTAGCCGGGATGGCCGCTGCCTGGAGCACAGCGGACCCTAGTGATGCACCGGCTGGAGCGCTTGCGTCGTCACACCCCAACCGCCCAACGCTTTTCCCGTTGGTTGGCCTGCTGGTCTGCATGCATGCCCTTGCGCCATCAAACCCTCCTTCGAACGCCCGCACCCGCGAAAGCAACCCGCCGCCCGCACCCCCTTGCCCTGACTTGCCCTTACTCACCACCACCTCCTCCTCAGCAGCTCCTGCCTCTCCCCCACCATCCACTACCGCGCTCCGTCTCATCTCGCCGCCGTCGCCGCCGTCATTCTCACCGTCGCTGCGCGTGCTACATATTCAGAAGCACCGCTGCAAGGTCGGCCGCTCCATCTTGCCACATACAAGCCCGCCCTGCCTGCCCCCTCCATCCCATAGACGTCCGCAGCTCAAGCGGCGTGCAGCGCTCAGAGCATACATCCCGCTACGTCCCATCATCTCGATCCCCTCCCTCTTCATGACGTCGACTGCACCCCCGCCTTCCAGGGGTTACGCGCCGCTGGGCCAGCTCCCCGCCTCTATGCGTTCCTCGCAGCCCATGCCTGCTCCGCTCAGCCGCGTTGCCCTGGCCGCTAAGCAGAACCAGATCCTCGCGCTCCAGGCGCTCCAGGCAGCCGCCGCCTCGGCTTCCGCCTCCGCCTCCGTCTCCTCGGCATCCTCCTCCACCGCCGGCTCTCCCCCGCCTGCCACATCGTACCTCAAGCCCTCCGTCGGCACTGTCCAGACCGCAGGTGCCAAACGCGGCCGCAAGTTCCAAGCATTTAGGGCGCCAGCGCTCGTCACCTCTCCGCTAGCATCTTCGCTGCCACATTCGTCGGCACAGACCACAGCCAAGCTGACGCCGCTCATCACCACCAGCGTGCCACACTGGTCTGCCGAGGGGTCGCATCCGCTCTTTGATCCGTCGTCCGGCAAGCGATCCGAGATCTACTCTCTCACCAACGACCGCTATCCCGGTGCGCCAGGCACTGCGCTCGCCAAGGCGCGCGAGGCCCAGCAAAAGGCTCTCCAGACGGCCAAGCGCGAAGCCGCCAAGAAGCTCGCATCCAAGGCCGAGCTCGAGCATCTCGGTGTCAAGGGACTCGGCAAGAAGCGCAAGAGCAGCAGCCCCTACGCGACCGTAGGTGCCACCGCCAATGCTGCTACGACTGTTCAGGTAGATCCGGTGTATTCGGCAAGCACATCGCGAGCCGTCCAGGAGTACATTGCGAGCCAAGCCATGAGCCGCGACTCTTCCCGCAGCCGTTCCTCGGCCAAGCCCGCAGCCTCGGACAACACTCTCACGGTGCCTTCGGTCAGTCGATCGCGTCGACCCGCTTCGAGGGCGTCCTCGCCGGCTCCAGCAATGGCCCAGGCGCCATCCGCACGGCGCTCGGGCACCCGTTCGGGATCCACAGCTCCTTCGGAAGAAGAGGCGACGCGCAACAGCCGTGGGTCTCCCTCGCGCGGGACCAGTCCGCCGGATCAGAACAAGAGCCTGCACGGCCTGTCTTCGACGGCACCATTCCAGAGCAGTCCTCTCGCCGCCAGCGCAATCACGATGGAGCCACTGCTCGACACCGAAGACGCCGAGCAGAACAGCGCCAAGCCCGATGCATCCCTGGCTGAGGTCTCGGTCTCGGCGGCGCGTGCTGCCTCATCTGCCAAGCGCAAGGCTAGCGCTTTGAGCCAGGAGGTGCAAGCCGACAATAGCGTCGAGGTTGCAGCAGCCGATGCTCTAGACGAGACGAGCAAGCGGCTCAAGCGCGATGGCGACGAAACGAGCGCCGATCCAGCCGGACACGAGGCACCTGCGCGCCACGTCAAGGAAGGATCGCCCTCGTCGGTCTCGTCCAGCCGCCGCACATCGCCCAGGATGTCGTCGCGCCGCATCGTCGCCGAAGCTGCATGACCCGCCTTCATCCTGAGTTCATGGCTCCAGCCTCCTTTTTT